AGGAGAAAAAAAGAAAAAATGATTATAATATAAAATATTTAAACTACATATTTACATAGTTTACTATTTGTTTTATTTTCGAATTTTAAATTTTTTTTTAAAAAAAAATATCACAATAATTATATGTTAAATTATTATTATAATAAAAAAGAGCGAAAAAAATAAATAATAAATATAATAATAATTATTTTTAATTATATAAATTTACTATACATGATTTTTATATTTTTTGATATTTATTATTAAAATATAGAGAAAAAAAGAAAACAATATAAATAAATTTAAAAAATTATTAATTCATTTATTATTATTAAACAAAATGATAAATTTTTTTTGTTATAGTTCTTGTTTCTTTCAAATTTTTAAAACCTTTTATCTACATAAAGGACATTCGTTTTTTTTTTAATCCACTGAATAATACATAATTTATGGAAATTATGGTGATAACCACATTATAAATACTAACATCATCATCATCCTCATAATTACTTAAACAAATTGAGCATTCAGTGTTAATTACTTAATCTTTTAAATTACTGAATTTTTTAAAAATAAGTTAGTCAATTTATTTATTAACTTAATATTCATAATATCTATTTAGTATTTTTGATACAACAATTTTTATTGTTTTAAAAAATAAAACCAAGAAAATGATAATAGTAAAAATTATAATCACAAAAATAAGAACATAATTATCGAAAAATAAATTAACATACAAAGCATATTTAGTAGAAGATTATTTCTAAACACTAAATTAGTTAAAAATTATAGATAAGTTTAAAACAGTCAAAACCATTTTAAAAATGACTTAACATTTGCTCCAAATAATTAATGACTTTTTGTTTTTTTAAAGTATTTCTCTAATAGTTTGAATTTATTAAATTTGATTTTAATTAAAAAATCTATTATTGCCTTACAAAACAAAGTAAATGAACATTGCTATATTTTATTTTAATTTTATTATTTCTTCTTTTATTTATTCGTTATTTACACTATTTTATTATTATTAATTTAAATCTAAACTTAAAAATTATCTTAGTTTATTAAATTGCATATACTTCTTAATAAAAAGAGTTACTTCTAAATAATTGAAATATATAAAAATAGACAATTTCAGAATATATAGGCCTATTACTTTTTAATCAATTCTATTTAAGTTAAAATTATCAAATAAAGCATTCAAAGATATACACAGAACTACGAAAGAAAGAGCTGCCTCAATAAGTAATCTCCATATACATTTACAAAGAAGACTTTAAATAGTATATGCTTAAGGGCTATTTAAATAATTTTAATCCACTACCGGATAATCAGCATGACTTTCTAATTAAAATTACTAGATTTATTACTACTAATAAGATTGTATTAAATTTTACAATAATTATAAATTTTATTGTCTTTGTTCATTATATTATGTTTAACTTATGTTTTCTACTATTTATATTTATAAGCTACTTTATTAGTTTTAAGATTAACTTTGGACTGATTAATTAGTTTCTAAATTTTATTATTAACTATTTGGTTGCACTTATATATTGTTTTTTTCATTTTTGTAACTTTATATTTAATTTATATTAGTTGCTTAATCATCTTGGGGTTATAAATTTTATTATTAATATTTTTGAATGACATTTATACTTTATTTTAATAATTCTATGTCTATAACTGAATCTTAATTTGTTTATTGAGAATTTTAGCTATTGTTCATATTTTATTTTTAACTTTTTTTAAAGAGAAATTAAATTTAATTAAAAAATAAATCATCATACGAATGTGTATGTTATTATTAGATAAAATTATTTATATTTCCTTAAAAATTCTAATATAATTAATTTTTTATTTAGAAAATATAATATAAAAATTAATAAAATAATAAAAAATATAATAGATGCATTTAAATAAAAAGTTATATATAATAAAATTATGAATAATGAATAATTAAATAATTAAATAACTAATCATAAAAAGTTTATTTTAAAACAAATATAAAAGAAATATTTAAAATTTTAATAAATTATTTAAAATATATAAAAATATCATTTTAATATAAATTTATATAGTTAATATTCTAATAAACTTTTCTTCAAATATCAAGAAAGTCATTAAGCAAATTTTAGTTATATATGTATCTTTTAATATCTATTTCATTCAAAACTTATTTTTTTTTAATTTCTTTAATGTTTTTCTCATCATTATCTTAATAATTAATTATTTTTTCTTATAAAATTTAGTTATTTTTTATATTATTATTCTTTGGAATTTAGTTAAATTATCCATTACTGTTTGTTTCTTAAGAGAATAAGTTTTATTTTAATTAAATAAAAATTCTACTATTCTCATTAAAATTATTAGGGTTAGCTATTTATTAAATTTTGAAATTGCTATTATTTAAATTTCTTTTAGCTATTAATAATATATAAAGAAAATTAAAAAAAAAATACATTATATTGATTATTTACTACTATCATTATTAAACTAATTTAAAGGATATTAAACAACATCATATTATTGTTATTATTATTAAATTGTAATAGATTGTTTACTTAAATCTTCAAAATTTTGAGAAATCTTACTAGAATTATTTGATGATAATTTTTTTAATTTATTCATAGGCATCTATTTTTCATTACTAAACTAATTTGAAAATGAATCTTTTTTTATAGATATATTTTCTTAAACAATACCTTTACATTTAATGTCTTATGAATCATTTCTTTACATTATAAATTTAAATCTCTTTTTATATTTAAAAAAATAATAAAATTAAACTCAATTTATATTTACGTTTTCATTAGTTTTAGAAGCATTAAAGCTATCAAGGTTTTAAGTAAGTTCATTATCTTTATAGATTTCAGGTATTATTTCAACAATATTTTCTATTTTCTTTTTAATATATATTTTTTTTTATTTAAATTTACATTCATTTATTATATCTTAATTTTATTTTGATATTTTTTTATTCATTTCTTTGTCAATAAATTATTTTAATTCTATGGATGTTACTTACATTAAATTTTTTTATAATTAACTTAAAGCAGATACATTTACACATTTAAAATCTACTGCTTTCAAAACTTCTACTGGATTAGCAATTTTATTATTTAAAACTATTTTTAAATTAATGAATTTATTTATTTATAAATATAAATAAACTCATATTTTAAATTAGGATAATTGAATTTTCCTAATGAAAGCTTTTACTTGGCTAAGCCTTTATTATCGAAACTAAATCTTCTTCAGTAACATTGCATATTTTAGGATTTTTTTACAATTCATTAAATGACTAAGCAATGTAATTCAATAGTAAAGAATATATATAATCTGTGTTTAAATAAACAGTAAATTCTAATTTTTTACCGTCAAAATTTCTCAATTATTAAGCTTCAAATTCATATAATAAAATTTAGGTTGATTTTTCAATAATAATATGTCTGATATTGAAATTTTAAGAATATTCTTTTTCATTTAAACTCAAAAGGAAATAGATAGATATTATTTATTTATATTATTCATCTTTTTATTCTTAATAAAATTCATCGTTAATCTTTTTTGTTAATGGTTCTAATTTTAAATATATTTTTAGTTTTTTTTCATTTAATTATTTATCTTCTTCCATTTTTGCTAATAATTTCCATTAATATTCATTAAATTTAAAAGGATTTGTTTCTTTGTTTATAATAGAATTTATGTTTGATAATTTCCAACTTATACTTGGGTGATTACTATCTATATTTAATAAAAAAAATTAAAATTATTTATTTATTAAAATAAAGAAATAATTTTAATTTACAATTAATTCTTTTATTTATTATTTATTTGTATTAAATAAATAATAATTCGAAAATTTCAGAAATATTTTTAATATAAAGTATAATATCAATCATACTTTTATAATCATATATTTATTTTTTCTTTTAATATTTAAGTGCTCTTTCAATAATCTCATCCATTATTTTATTATTTATTTTATTTAATTCAGTTGGATTATTTTTAAATATGCTAATTAAATTCTTTGCTGTAAAATTCATCCCTGTATTCAATAACATATACCATATATCACAACTATCTTCACATGCTTTTAATTTTTTGAAAGCTTCATTTAAAAATAATAAACAATTATTTATTCTTATTCTAGGAATTATTATATCAGTTATACATTTATACTAAAAATCATCAATTTAAAAATAATCACCAATCCTTTTTTTGTTTAAAAAAAATTAAACTTTTTTATTTTATTGTTTCATACCATAATAATCTTTAAAGCGATTAATCTGACATTGTTATGCTTTTATCAACATGACTATGTACATTTTTTTGCTTTGCATAATCATAAAAAACCCTAAACACATCATTTGTTACCCATTTAGGTAATGTTAGTGTTATATCCTTTTTTTATTTTAAATAAAAATGTACATAATTCTAATAAAAATACATTATCTATATTCTTAGCAATATTTTATAGTAAAATTTCTTTTAATAATCCTGAATCAGTTAAATATTTTAATTAAATTTATTCTTATTTTCCGTCAAATATAAAAGTTACATCTTTTTTAATTTTTTAAAAAATAAGTTAGTTGTTTTTGAATAATTTAAACAAATTTAAAGTTAATATAAAAATTGATTATAATATATATTTTTTTTTGTTAATAATTTTTTATTTTTTATAAACCTTTTTCAGTTTAAAATAACTTTTCTCCATCAATTAAATTTTATTCGTCTTTAACTAAATTCATTTATTTGATATATTATTATATATTTAAATTAACAAAAAAATAAAATAAAAATATTTTATTTAATTAACTAACTTTAAAAGTTATTATAAAAATATATTTAAACAAGTTTATGAATATCTTTATAAAATAAATGACAATAAATATAAAATAAAATAATATTTTATTAAAATAAATATAAAATAATTTATATTTATTAAAAGTAAAAATTATTATTATTTATATAATAAAAAATACAAAAAGATATATATATATAACTAAAATAAATAAATGAACGATAAAAAACCAAAAGTTGTAAAAGAAGAATTTGAATTAAATGGATGGAGATTCGAATTTTCTAAATCGGGTATTATGCCTTCTTAACAATTAGACAATTTAAAAGATGAATTAAAATTAAATAACATTCCAGATGTAGTATTTGGAGAAAATTGTGGTAGATTTATATATAATGATGCTGATTTTTGTTTAGAATTTTCGCCTAAGGATAGTCTTTGTTTAACTAATTTTTAGTCAAGAAAAAATGCCTATTTAGATTTAAGTTAAAATCAGAACATAAAGCATTATAAATAATTAAATAATTGTACTGTTATTCCTTCTGAAGTAAAAGTAAAATATTCCTAATAATGGAAAAATAAAAAACCATAAGATCCTACAACAGAAGTAAGAGTAATTGAGCAAATTTCAGATGTTTTTTTCAGTACTCCTTATAAAGGTACAATTAAAAAAGTTTCCACTTTAATAGACCCTTAATAAAATGAAAATTATTTTATAAATGCTTTTGAAAATTAACTTCATTTAGAAGAACTTTAATAACTAACATTGCCTTATGTAGAAAAAACGAACGATGAATTACCTTTACATAATTTAACTGAATAAAATCCAATTAAATGGTCAACTATGATCCATTTATGGGAAGATGAATTAGGTATATAAAAAAAAATATTTTATTTGATTTTCTATATATTAAAAAGGTGATTCTGGATACACTATGAGTGAGGTTAGATTTAGAGTTATGGGTGATTGCTGGTTTACTTTATTAAGGCATTACCTAAGAGTAGATGATGTTTTAATTAGAATATATGATACAAGATATTATCATGATTTTAGTTAAAATTATATTTTAAGAGAATTTTAAGTTAGAGAAGACTCATACTAAAATATTAAAGCTAGAGGATTTCAATTTACACCTAAATGGAATATAGATCCAGGTATATAAAAAACATTTAAATATATTTTTTATTAATTTATATATTGATTATAATTAAAAAATAAGCTTAATCTCATTTAATATATTAATATGTTAAAACTGTATTAGTGGATAGGGAAAAAATATACTTTAAATGAATCAAAAAATTAAATTATATAGAAATATTTATTTTTATAATTTAATTGTATTTCTAAAAAGTTTTATTTCTAGACTCTTTTTTTTTACACATTAAACTTTTTTTAATTAATTGATATTAAATTTTTTATCATATATATTTAAAAATTTTTTTCTTATATAATATACTTTTTTTTTTTCCAATTTGTATATTTTTTTATATAATTTTAAATTAATTAAACAATTTTTAAAAAATACTAAGAATAAAATAATTTAGTAAATAATAAAAAATATTAATTAAATTCAATTTCCACATTCAAACTTAAATTCACAATTTTTAATTTCTGTTCCATCTTTATTAGTAGCAGTTGCATATATATGTGTTTATCCAAACAAAAGTGTTACTTTAACAGTTTTATCTTCTACAGATTAAAACGGTTTACCTAAATCAACACACAACTCTCCTAATTATTTAACACCTTCCTCATCAACAAAATTAACATCTCTTTTTTCAGTGACATAAAATATTATTCTCATAACAATTTATCGACTTCTTACTGGACAATAAATCTTTGTATGCACTTCTTAACTACCTACACTATCTCCTTTACGAACGAAAGCATCAAACACATCTTCACAAAATTCTTCGCCTTCAATAATAACCTTTATAAATAATTTAAAAAAATATAATTTAAAAAATAAAAAATTATACTTTTTTATCTTCAGGGTGTTTTTCAGAATCAAAAGTAGTCAAAGTATTAATTCCATAAGTTTTTTTTGCAATTCTTGAAGAAATTGATCTTGGATTTAAACCATATAAACAAGCACCTCTAATAACGCTTATTTAAGGCCTTCTTGGAACTAAAACTTATACCTAAGCAGATTCAAACTTTTATTTTATTATTTATTTTAAAAAAGGACTTTCTGAAAATCCTCCAACCATAAATATAAAATTAACATGTTCACCCTTTGCTTCTGTTTATTTTATTAATTATTCAACCTTTTTTTATTTATAATAATAATATTAATTATTATAAATATTTATATAAAAGTTATATATATATATTTATATATATATATTTATATATATATATATACTTTATTTTAATATTTTCAAATAAAGTTTAGAAAAAAGAAGCCATTAAGCAAGAAGGTAATTCAATATTAGAAACCCCTTTTAGTTTTACATTAAATTCAGGAGGATGTTTTTCATTATGAATTTTTACAAGTTTATTTAATTAACCAGATGATAAATCACTTCCTAAATAGCTTAATTTAATCATACTTCTTTCATTATTATTTCCTTTAAATTTTCTTTATTTTTATAATAATGATTAATTTATATAAAAAAATAATAAATAAAACAAAACCTTTTTAATATTTCAAAATCTTTTAATATATCTAACCTTGCCAAAGCATTTTTTTAATAAACTCTATATAATTCTGATCCTAAAAAATCTTTTAAAAATTCTTCAAAATAAAGTTCTACATATTTAGAACCCCATTCACATCCTCCACTAGAAGGAATAATTTCTTAACATAAAAATTTTTCATGAACTTCACATAATAATTTGTGTACAGTTATATCTATAGTCCCACCTCCGCAATCTAACACCATAATAACAGAATTCTTTTTCATTTATTCTTTTAATTATTATTCTGCATCTTCTCTACATTATATACTTGCTCCTTCAGGCTTTTTTCATCAAAAAAATACTAATATATGATATTTGTATTCTTTTAATACTTCAAGACATAATAAAAGGTTTGAAGAATGCAAAGATTCTATTATCTAAGCTTCAACAGCAGCTTTTCGCATAAAAAATTTATGTTCCTCACTCCATAATGCAGGCACTGTAATGATCCATCTTATTTTAGAACTCACGATTTTACCTACTTAATCTTTTAGTTTAGCTAATGCTTATTCTGCTATAAATCTTAATGTTTCCGAAATAAGAATGACTAGAGGCATTTCTCTACCATCAATACTTTTAGCATATGTATTTAAATGTAGTAAATTTATTTTGTACTTTTTTATTTTTTTTATTTTTTATTTTTTTTATTATTTTTTACATTTTAAAAAAATAATGCAGTATCTCCATCTTCTAAAATTTCAGCGTATTTCTAAATTGCAGATGAACCGAAATCTATAAATTTCATATTGTTATCAAAAAGAATTGCTGATGGAGTTTTCTAATCATCACTATCATCACAAGGATTAAATACTTCTATTCTTGATTTTCCATCTTAATCTAAAAATTTTGGAGCTATTCCATATCTTTTTTTATTTTTTTATTCTGAACAAAAATTATTAAATACCCTGATGCACCTGTTCCAAAATCAATCGCTATTATATGAGTAAACTAATCGTCTTCTTTTAATAATGCCATATTTTTATAATTTTTTTTTTTTTCTCAAATATGTTTTAGTTTTTTCAAATATTTAAACAAATATATATTTTTAAAAAAAAAATTATATGATTTTTTCGGTATTAATATTGTTTAAATATAAAGTAAATTTTAAACCGAACAAAATATTATTATTATTTTATTTAAATTATATAATTATTTTATACTATTTAATAAACAATGGACATCATTTTTATTCGCGTTATTTTAGGAAATAAATAATATTTTAAAAAATATAAAGTTCAAACATTTTTAATTTATTTATCTATAACCATAGTTTATTTATATTTGCGCAAAATTAAAAATTTTATTATATATTTTATAATGAAAAGATTTTAGTGTAAAATTAGATATACTTTATTTTAAAAATCCTATGATTTTTTTTAATTTTTTATTCAGATATTTAATAATAATTATTTAGTCGGATTTTTTATAATTTATTAAATTATATAAAAATGCAATTTAATATTATATAAAGACATGTTAGATTCTTATTAATACTGTTTTAAAAAAGAATATTTTAAATAAACATTAATTAATATGATTTTTCTAGAAATCATATAAGAAATTAAAACTAAATAAATAAAAATAAGAAATTTTTATATATTCTTAATCAATTTTATTTATAATTTTTATAATATTTATATATCTATTATTTTTATCACTTATTTAATGTTGAGAAATTTTAAATTATATTAAATACTCGCCAAATAATTATTGATAAAGAACTAACATAATTTTTCAAACTATTCTTGTTTATTAAATTAAAAACATATTTTAAATTAAAATTAAACACCTGAAGGTTTGCATTTTATTAATAAAAAAAAACAAAGAGTATATACTCAAATTAAAATATAAATATTTTTTAGGTTTTGAAAAATTTGAAAGAAAAAAGAAATCTAAAAATTAATAATAAAAATGTAAATCTAATATAATCCATATTTTATTTCATAAAAAATAGAGGAATAGAATGAAAAAGAAGAGAGCTAAGGAAAAAATAGTTAAGAAAAACAATTTTAATGAGAAAATTAATAAAATGAAGATGAACTATAAAATTAAAATGTTTAAGAATAAATAGAAGAATAAATTTATTAATAAGATAAAGACCATTAAAAGAAAGCCGTCAATAAAGAATAAATTATTATGAATAATTTAAATAATTTAATTAAAGAATGCATGAATAGTTAATTTTTTTTTAGCAATAATTCAAAAAATATAAATTATTTTTTGGTGGATTTTTAATATTTCTAGGCTTTTCTGCCTTTATGAGTTATATGAATTAGAAGGTTTACATAACATTAGATGTAAAAATATTATTTTTTATCAAAAACGTTATATAATTATATAAAAAAAAGGAATTCTTTAATAATTATTTAACTCAATTTAAAGTAAAAGATATTAAAATTGAATATACTACTTCTTAAAATAGTTTATATTTAAATGCAAGAGTAAATATGAAAGACAACACAACTAGGTATATAGTATTAGGAAACGTAGATCATTTTTTATAAAAGATAGAAGAGTTTTAAAAAGATAGTTTTAATTAAATTAATATTGAATATGATTATGTATATGATAATGCCTATATTGTTTAATCTATGGTTTCTTATACCAAAAATATTATTTATTATACCTTAATTTTATATATCATCAAAAGATCTCTTAAGACAAAAGTAGGAAGTGATTTTTTTAATATGGGTATTTTTTTTTATTTTTTTCATTAATTAATAATTAGTTAATTTAATAAGGTAAATCACATGTAAAAGTCTATGGATTAGAAAATAAAGTAGAAACCAAATTTAAAGATGTTGCCGGATAAGATGAAGCTAAATAAGAAATTTAAGAGTTCGTTGAATTTTTAAAAAAACCAAGAAAGTTTCATAAAATGGGTGCTAAAATACCTAAAGGAGCCTTAATTTCTGGCCCTCCAGGTACAGGTAAAACTCTTCTAGCAAAAGTAATAAATAAACATAATTAATTTTAATTTAAATTTAATATCTTATTTATTATTAAATAAAGGCTTGTGCAGGAGAAGCTGGTGTTCCGTTTTTTTATATTTCAGGATCTGATTTTACTGAAATGTTTGTAGGTGTAGGATCTTCTCGTGTACGTGATTTATTTAAATAAGCAAAAGAACATTCTCCATCAATAATATTTATAGATGAAATTGATGCTGTAGGAAAAAAAAGAAAAAGTAATATAATAATAATAAATACATATTTATTTATTTAAAAAAAAAGATTAAGGAAATGATGAAAGAGATAATACATTAAATTAACTTTTAGTAGAAATGGATGGGTTTGATACTGATGGCAATGTGATTGTATTAGCTGCTACAAATAGACTAAATTTACTTGATCCTGCATTGACTCGTCCAGGTTTAAAACAAATATTAATTATAAATTTGTAAGTAAATGTAAATATTATATAGGTAGATTTGATAGAAATATAGAAATAACACTTCCTGATATAGACGGTAGAAGAGAAATATTTTTAGTTCATTTAAAAAAGCTGAAATTGGAGAATTCTAGAACAATCGATTAATATGCTAAAAGATTAGCCACATTAACACCTGGATTTAGTGGTGCAGATATAATGAATTTATGTAATGAAGCAGCAATAATGGCAGCTAGAAATAATAAATAAGCAGTTGATTCTTTAAATTTTGAATTAGCAACTGAAAGAGTCATTGGAGGTTTGGAAAAGAAAAAAATTGTTTCAGAAGAAGAAAGAAAAATTGTGGCTGTTCATGAATCTGGACATGCTGTTGTTTCTTGGTTTTTAAAAGGGGGAGATCCTTTACTTAAAGTTTTTTTTATTTTTTAGAAAAAAAAATTAGTAACTTTTTTTTTATTAAAAAAAAAAAGAGCTTACTATTATTCCTAGAACTAAAGGTTCTCTTGGATTTGCTTAATATTTACCAAATGAAAGCAGTTTGCATAATAAAAATGAACTTTTTGATAGATTATGTACTATTTTGGGAGGAAGATGTGCAGAAGAAGAATTCTTTAATCGTATTACTACTGGTGCTTATGATGACTTGAAAAGAGCTTATGATTTATGCCATGCGATTGTTACTAAATATGGTATGAATGAAAAGTTAGGGTTTGTTGGCTATATTGAAAGTGATTATAGCAAAACTTATTCAGATTTAACAAATAAAGTAATTGTTTTTAGTTTACTTTATTTTTATATTTTTGTTATTGTTTTTAATTAGGATATTGATGAAGAAATTCATAATTTAATTGAAGAAGCTACAATATAAACAAGATAAATTATAAAATAATATAAGGAATACATTTAAAAGTAAAAAAGTCTTATTATAATATAAAAAAATATATAAAAAAGTTTATCGTCAGAATTATTATTAAAAGAAACCCTTGATTTGAGATAAATTTAAGCTATTTTAGGGAAAAGACCTTTTGAAGAAAGATCTAATTTTAAAGAATACTTAAAAACTTAAGAAGAAGATATGAAAGATTTAGAAAAATAATAATAATAAAAAGAATAATAGTAAAAATAATGACATTTAATAATATGAAAAATAAAATAAAAAAAATATAATTAAGAATATTTTTATTTTGTTTTTTTTTTATATTTTTTAAATTTATTATAATTTTTTAATATATTTATAAAAAAATATATATAAGCTAAATATTTAATTATTATAAATATTTTTTAACATAAGTTAATATTTTTAACAAAAAAATATTAGGAATTATGTAAATTATCTGTTAAAATTTTAATTAATATATTTATAAATTTTAGTTACAATAAATACTATATATTTATATATATATTTAATTTTTACTCAATGTGTCTATTTATTTTATTTATCAACTGAATAAAAAAAGAAATCGAATTAAATTATAAATAATTTTATATTTTAAAAATTAATTTAATTTAATTAAATAATATTAATTAAATAAAAGAACAGAAAGTAAAAAAATTCAAAAAGCGCATCTCTTTAATAATATAATATAATATAATATAATATAATATAATATATAATATAATATAATATATATAATAATAAAAAAAAATATTACAAAAAAAAATAAATAAGATAGAGAAAAAAGAAAAATAAAATATGTTAAAATTACTTAAAAAAAAGCCCGAAGGTTAAGAAAATGATGGATAAGAAAAGAAACAAAAAGTAACACCAGGATTATTACGTTTACAAACAGATTTGAGCGACTTAGGTACCGATTTACCTAAAAATGCAACTTTAGAATGGCCTGATAAAGAAGTTTTAACTTTCATGAAATTAACAGTATGGCCAGATGTTACTAGTTATTGGGGAGGTGCTAAATATGCATTCACTATTGAAATTAGTCCTGATTATCCTCATGCAGCACCAAAAGTGCATTGTGAAACTAAAATTTATCACCCAAATATTGATTATTAAGGAAATGTTTGTTTAAATATTTTAAGAGCAGATTGGAAACCTGTTTTAAATTTATATAATATTATATCTGGAGTCCTTTTTTTATTCATTGAACCTAACCCTAATGATCCTTTGAATAAAGAAGCAGCATAATAAATGATTGATAATATAAAATAATTTGAATTAGATGTAAAAAGATCATTAAAAGGAGGATAAGTTAATGGATAATATTTCCCTAAGTTAATCTGAAAAAAAAATATATATGCTTAAAATATATATTAATTCATATTTTTTTTGTAATATTTTTTTTTAATTTAATTCTTTATTTCAATAATATAATTTTTTTTGTATATAAATTAAAATATTATTTTTTTATTAAATTTCTAATAAATACATATATATTTTATTTTAAAAAATGAACTAAATAATAAAATTATTTAACCTATAAGCTATTATAAAATAAAATTAATTTTCTAGAAAAACATTAAAATGTTAATATAGTTATTCCAAAAGAAAATTTAATAATCTATTAATAAAATATTTATTTATAAATATAAAATAAAATAAAAATCACTATATATAAAATATTAGTATTGAATTATAAACAAATTTATTTCTTTTATAAAATTAATAATAGAAAAACATTTCTATTGTAAATTTTAAAAAAATTTATACTTTGATATTCAAAATAATTAAATCAAGCTTTTTTGAAGTTAAACAAAAAATTATATATATATATAATAATTTTTTAGATACTATTTTTTATTTGATTATTTATTAAATTTAAAATACATAAAATTTTAATATTATTTTATAATTTAAAAAAGAAATTATATAAAAAAAAAATGTCATTAAAAGAAGATTATAACGATAATTCAGAATATGTTAGTATTTTTAGTGATAATGATAAAGAAAATAATTTAGATAAAAACGAAGAGGAAAATATAGATAACATAGACCTTGATATTGATGATAATTAAATAGATTAAATAATAAACTAAGGCGAATCAATTAAATAAATAGAATTAAATTAAGAAAAAAAAATAATAAAGATCAAATAAATCTTAGAAATAATAATAAAATACAAAATAAGCAGAAGAATAAAAATTATATAAATAAAAATTAGTATAAGAAGTAAAAATATTTAAAATTTTATGCATAAATGTCATACAAAAGATACAATTGATTTTTAAAATGGTAAACCTGCATTGAGAAAAATTTAAAATATTGACGATGTAATAATGAAATTAAGCAGAGTAAAATAATAAATTTAATTTTTTTTTAAAAAAAAAAAAAAAATTGTTTTAAATTTTTTAAAAAAAATATATATATATTTTGGAATTATAAAAATATATAATTTAATATATTTATATTTTTTTTTAAAAAAAATTAGTCTCATATTTAAAAATAATTTCTTGCTTAAAAGGGACTTGATAATATTGCTGATTGGATTTATAAACTTCCTAATGGATCTGAACCACCTATTTCTTTGAAAAAAAAACTTTTATAATTTGTATATGGCTTACCTGTTAAAAAATAGAATTTAAGTGGAATTAAATTAGGAAAAATTATTTATAAAATATCAATGAAAAGTATATTTATAAATATTTATATTTTAAAATTTTTAATTATATATAGGTGATGTAAAAGAACTTAAATCGATTGCAAGTAAAATAGTTGAAAAATGGAGTTAACTTTTAAATTAAAAAGAAGAGGTTGATTGAGTCTTTTTTTTCTTTTCTTTCTTAAAATATAATAATTTTAGATTTTAACCAAAAAATAAATAATAATTATTAGATATTTAAAATTCTACAACTAACATATATTTTATATAATTCATTTATTTTAAGATATTTTATATATAGAATTATAATTATATAGCCAATTAATTTAAATTTTAATTTTAAAATAAAATTTAAATAATATCTTTAATTCTTATTATTTAAAAAAATTTACAATTTTTTTGTTTTTTTTAAATTAATAATTATATATTTAACTTATTATTCTTTTTATTATTGAATTTGTATTTTCATTATTTTTTTTATTTTTTTATTAATTAAATAAATTTAGTTTTAATATTCAATATAAAAATTATTAAATATTAATCAAAATAAATAAAAGATCAAAATAATTTCAATGTTAAATAGAGATTTTATTTATAATTTTATTTAATTAATGATTAAATAAATGATATAAGAATAATTTTTCTTATAAAATCATTAAGAAAAATTTAACTTAAAATCGACTTTTTTTTCAAAATTTAATTGGAAAAAATATTATTTAAATTTAATTCTTTTATTTTTATTTAAATTTAATTATTTTATATTTTATTAATTTATAAATAAAATAATGAGTTCATTTATTGAAGCAGACTTAAAATTATAACCAATTATAAATGAAAACAGATAATTAAAAAAAGCATTAAAATAATTATAAAATACATTAACAAGAACTATAAGTATTTTTTTTTAAAAAAAAAAACGAACAAAAAATCTAAATAAGTTTTACTTTTATTTAAAAAAAAGATGATTGTGAGACCATAAAATAAATACACGAAGATTTTAAATAGCATTATTAAAAAATAAAGGAAGAAAAAGAAGAAATACAATAAAAAATTAGTTCTGTTTTAAATGAAAAAACAGATATTGAATATAATTATGAAAATATAATAAAAAACTTGAAAAATTAATTACTATAAAAATAAAATTAACTAGAAAATTTTTAAAATAGAATAAATCCCACTTTAAATTAAGATATATTAAGATTTAGGATTATTAATGAATTAGAAGAACCTCATAAATTTCAACTTTAATAAAAAGATAATGAAATTTAAAGACTTTAGGAATGTTCATATCAAATGAAAACTTAAATTGAAATTTTAAAAAATAAACTAGATTAAGCTAAGAATGATTCAAGAAGAGAAATATATGATTTAAAAGAAAGACATAAAGTATTTTTTTTTAATTGATTTATATATAATTTAAAAATTTAATAAAGTTAGAACTTAAGGAATTTTATTTAGAAAATTAAATTAATAATGAATAAAATTAAGACACTTAAAGAGATAATTATTAAATAAAAATATATGAAAAAGAAGTTGAAAATGCTAGAATTTAGTTAATTAATAAAGAAGATAATATATATTAATTAAGAAAGGAAATAGTAAATAATATAATACTTTTTAAAATAAAATTTAATAAAAAAATATATAATAAAAAGGACGAATTGAAATTCAAAGAATCTAACTAAATAGAAAAATTAGTTAATGAGATTTAATAAATAAAAGAAGAAAAAAGGCAAATAGAATCATAAAAAATGCAATTTCAGGATCATATACATGATTTAGAATTAGAAATAAAAAAATATTCGGAATAATAAAATTCTTAATCTATGTCTCCTTAAAAATCAATTCTGAATTATGTATTTTTTTTTTATATTAGTATATTTTAATTTAATAAATAAGCATGGAGAAGATTTAATAAGAATAAAAAAGAAAGAAAATAAAACAAGAATTTTAAAATAATAATTAGATGAATTAAAGTAAAAGTAAGATAAATAGAAATAAGAAAGCAAAGAAAATGAGAAAAAATTGGAAGATTAAATAGATAAATTAAGAAAAGAAAAAAAAGAAATTCTAATTGAAAATTAAAAATTAGTTATTGATTTGTAAGAAAAATTAACTGAAGAAAAGAGAAAATTTTAGGATATACAATCCAAATATAAAGATTTAGAATTCTAAAAATAATAAAATATTGAAAATTATGATGCTTAAAAAACATAAACTTATAAATAATAAAATATTACATAATAAGTAAAAAAATATAATTTTTTTTTGTTACTTTTATATAAAAAGGATTATTAAATTCTTAAAAATAAAAATACAAAACTAAAATAAAAACTAAAAGAAGCAAATTAAAAAATAATGACATTATTAAATTAAAAACTTCACGATAAAATAAATAAAAATAGTGTTGCCTAACAATTAATATAACCTGTATAAAATGAAAATATTTACAAAAATTTATCATTTAATAGTCTTCCTTAATTTAAATAATAATAAAATGACCTTATTCCAAATAGTGCAATATAAAATTAAAGCAATTTTCATTTTACAAATAATAGTTAATTTTAATAATAATAAAATAGTGGTTATTTTCCAAATAATACAATAAGTTTAAATAATTAATTTAAGAATAATGATATAAAAAACGAATTAGATGAACATAAAAATAGATTAGAAAATTTAAAAAATAATGTTGATGATATAAATAGAATTACAAACTAATAGTTTTATAAATCTTATTATTGATTAGATATATATAAATACATATTTATATATTGAAACTTACAATAATAAATATAATATACGTATACTATTTTTTTTTATTTCAAATATCATTCATAAAATTAACAGCCGCAATTCTATCTAAAGCATAATGATAATTTTTTAAATCTTTTAAAAAATATGGCAATTTAATATTTTAAATATTTATTAATCCTTTTTATTGTAATTTAATACAATCTTTAACAGTTATTTTTCCTGAATGTAAACTTATCATATCACACTAATTTCTATATTTTAATACCCTTCTAACACCCATTAAATATATTTGGTCTTTATACATTCCCAAAGGCTATTAAGTATCTAAAATTCCTCTTTTTACTCTCACACATTCTCTCCATCTTTTTTCAGGATCTTTTATGTATTTTTCCAAATCCTTAAATAATTCTTTTATTTTTTAAATTAACAAATTCTTGCAAAAAATTATGTATATATATAATAGAATAAAAACCTTAAAATGACATTTTACTACTTTAAACACTTGCATAATATAATAGAGCTGCACCAAAAATGTACGGTTGTTTATTTGGATTTAATGCACTATCATATTTTTAATTTATTAAAGCTAATCCCTCTTCCACTTTATGTGATTATTCTAAATTGTATTTTTTTCTTTACTTTTTTAATAGAAATAAAAATATATATAATTAAATAAATAGAAAAGTACTTTATTCCAAACTTATAATTTATTATTATGTTTTCGTAAAAAGTGTGTTCCTATTTCATGATTTAAAACTCCTTATATTATGTCTTGTCTATAATTAATTGGCATCCCTATAATAATTTTACTTTTTCCATCCTTTTATTTAATAATATTAAAATAAAAATGAAATATAATTTTTACTTTCGAATGCTAACATATTGTAGGAGAAACTGTATTATATTCAAAGTCAAAATCTACTAGACTTTCGCAATCTAAATCTTTATATTTTAATTTTTTTTATTAAAGGAAAAAAAAAAATTTATTTAAAATATTAAAATTTACCTTTAATATATTTTTAAAAATGAAATTAAGTTAAATTTATATCAATTAAAGGGCCTCCATCGATTTCATGAAACCTATCTTCAGAACCATAATTTTTAATAACAGCATTTAATATTTTCAATGCTAAAGAAAAATATTTTGTATGTGGAATTTAAAAATTTAAAATAATTTCCTAAATTCTATATGTAAATTTAGGATTATAATTAAATTATTGTTAAAAAAAAGTAATTTTTTCTTATTCTAAATTTTCTGGACGTAAATCTTTTAATGCGGTTTTTTTTTGTTTTTTTTTTATGATTCTTATTTTTCTTGTTATAATTATTATTATTTTGGTTTTTTTTATTTTTGTTGATTTTGCTTCTTTTTTTCTGTTATTTATTTTAATACTTTTTAATTATTTAGTTCTATTTTAATTGAACTTTTTTTTAATCTTTTTAGATTATTTCGCTTTCTAAATACAAATTCTTGTTTATATTTAATGACTTTAATTAGATACTTATTGAAGATGAAAATAAACTTTTTGCCCTTTCTTAGTTTATCTTATTATTTTTCTGTCTTGATCTTGTTGATTCCATTTTTATTAATATACAAATAAAATTATTAAAAAATTATTATATTATTATTATTTAAAAATATTTAAGTAATTTTTTTTTATGAAAAAACTTTATTTTATAAAAATATTTAATGGGTTAAATTAAATTTTAAAAGTAAATTAGATATTTTTAAAAATTTCTAAAAATTTAAATGTTAAGTAAAAATTGTAATAAGATAATTGAAATTCTCTATAAATTTTTGCATAAAAATTAAATAAAATAATAAAAAAAAATGTTTTTTAATATATATTAATTAATAATAATATAAATTATTTTAAATACATTAATTATTATTATAAATATGTGTTTGTAAACTTTCAATTAAATTAAATAATAATAAGAAAATTTGTATAATTATTATTTTAAAATAACTAACAAAAAATAATAAAATACATATAATTATTTTGGTTTTCAAAAATAAAAGTAAAATATATTTATAAATAAATAATATTTTATGTTTAATAATTAATACTTTATAATTGTATAAGTTATCTTCATTTTGAAGAATTAATGCTTTATTATGAAAATTATTATTTATTAATAACAAATCCTTATTTATTATTTTTTCCAAACAATATTTTGCATTATATATTAGTTAATTTTTTTTCCTCAACTTTAATATTATTAACATTATTATCGTATTACTTATTAAAATCCTTTTCATATTCCCATTCTTTTTTTAATTTTATTTAAAATTAATAAATAAATATATTATAAATATACTTTAATATAAAAAATAAGCCCAGTCGAATAAACTGGTACTTCCAACAATCAAGATAGTACCAAAATGAAAATTAGGAGTAACAAGTAACCTTTAATTAAAAATATATTATGTGATTTTTTAAAAAAATAAATATTTACGAATTTAAATTCTCATCTATATCATTAAAACTAGGTGTTTCATATAAAAAATGCCATGAAGCCACATAAAATAATAAAGAAAGAATAATAGATAAATATAATCCAAAAGTATGAGTATTAGAAATAATGATAATTTTTATATTTGATATTAATATAATACTTCCATAAATCATAGCTCCCATAGATTAATAGCATTTATTTCTTCCATCTGAAGTTATAAAATTAATAATAAGTGAAAAAAAAGAGAACGCATACATTATGCAACTTTACAAAACTGCAATAATAATTTATTACCTAATCAGACCTTAATTAAAATTCTTATCTTTTTTTTTTTAATAAAAAATTAACATATTTAAAGCAATAGTTTATATTTTTTTTGCTTACTTTTAAGTCCTTATTCATAATAATTTTTCTTTTTGTTTTCAACTAAATGTTATTCATTATATTCTTTATCTAATAAAGCATAAATAATGATAGGTACTGAAGTAAAGAAAATATTAAACCCTTAATAAAGAAAAGTATCATACAAAGATGTGGCACTGAAATAATTAACTACACCATTACAAAACTAAGGAAACACAAGTAATATATTCTTATAAAAATTATACAACACAAGTTAAGAATTTTTCCTATAACATTCTCTTCCGTGGTAAAAAAGAAGTCTTCTTAAATGCTTGAATTCGTCTATTGCAAAATCACTTGCTTTAGCGGCTTATTATCCCTCTTTACCTAAAATTCCTATACCTACATGTGCTGCTAAAATCATATTTACATCGTTTGATCCATCTCCTATAGATAAAGTCATAGAATTCGGATCCTTTTGTTTATTTTTTTTTTGTTTAAAAAAAAAATAATTTCTTTTTACGTTTTAACGCACCATAAGTAACATTTATTATTTTTAAGGGGGAGAAACTCTACAACTAAGTACACAATTGCAATGTTTGATAAGTTATAAAATCTTTTTTTTATTTTTAATTAACAAAAATAATGATATATTTTAAGTTTTGTTAAAATAAAATTACTGCATTTTTTATGTTAGGTATTTTTAAATGATTAATAGATTCTCCAGAAATAACTAATGAAAACTTTTTTTAATTATTTTTATTATTATTTTGTGATAATTCTTAATTTTTTTCATTCAAAAAGCTTAAAAGAACATTTTCATCTTTAAAATCAATAATAATATTTTCCTAATCCTAATCTAATAAATTACATGAATATCCAATATTAATTGCTGTTTCAATTTTATCCCCTGTAAGCATCCAAATTTTAATTCCAGCCTGTTTAAAAGCTAAAATCGTTTCTGGAACTTAATCTTAAAGTTTATCTTCGATAGCTGTTCCTCCTAAAATAGTTAAATCTTATTCCAATTCATTTTAAAGCTAATATATTTAATTATAATAATCATCCTAATTTAAACTTTATGTATTTAATTAAAAACATTACTAATATCGTATATCCCATTCATCATATTCGATTTTCGATATAGTCCTTTAAGCCAACATCATTGTCCTTAAGCCTTTCAAACTCATTTCATTAAGCTTTTCTTTCAAATAAATTAACATTATTTAGTCTGTATTTTTAGATGCTTTCTCTGACAAAATCTAGTCATTGCCTTTACAATAAATAATAATCTTTTTAATGGAGTAAATTTTAAACACTTTTATTAAAATTTTTATTTTTTATTTTTTTTATTTAATTTTAATATTACTTCTCCATCTTCATTTTATATTATTACTGATTATCTTTGTCTTAAAGAATCAAACTCGAACGTTTATAGTATTTTAAATTTATATGTAATATTCATATGTCTTATATATATATTATCGTTCATATCTCTTGTCCTAAATTCTATTCCTGAGAATTTCGCGAAATTAACAAGAGCTTATTCGTCTGGTGATTACTACATATATACTGTTTCTCCATTTTTATCTATTTTTGAATTCACAGTATGGCAAGTTGCTATTAAAAATAAAATTTTCCTTTTTTTTTTATTTAATTTATTTATAAAAAAAAAATATTATATATTTTGTTATTACTCTATTTATTTAACTTCTTCAGTTTTTGAATTTTATAGTAGTTTCATAAACTTTTTGTCCCTAAAATTAACGTTTGTTACTTTAGGATAGTTTTTCTAAATTTCTTCATCTGTTAAAGCTTCATAACATGGATCTTCTTCGTAACCATAAATAACATCATTTACTACTAATTATCGAAATTCCATAATATTTTTGGTTAAAGTTCCTGTTTTATCAGTAAAAATATGGTTTATTTATCCTAGTTCTTCATTTAAATTTGATGTTTGCACATTAGTTTGACCCATTTTGGGATCTTTTTAAATTTATAACCCCTAAAAAAATTTAACTGTCTCTAAAGTAACTAATAAACTTATAGGAACAATGTTACTTTTTAATTAAAAAAAAAAAATTTAAAAAAATAAAAGAGAAAAAAAAACGTAAATATAAGTATCCAATTTCCAAAATTAGTAAAGAAAGCAATATGGTATTATTTATCATATTCATTCATAACTAAATAGCTAAATTCATATATATTATTAAGATAAGAAAGCAAATATACAATGGCGGCAATAATACTTAAACAAATTTAAATAGCAAACAAATTAATGATAAACTTTTATAAAAGTATTAAAATTTTGCTTTTTTTCATTTTATATTTAAATAAATTTATCATTATTTTAGTATTATGCCTTTTTAATTATTTTATTTTTAACAAAAATTTAAATTAACTATATTTATATATTTAAAAAATACCCTGTATAACAAACCATCCCTATAATGTATTCAGTATTCATTAAACGACAGCCTCTTAAAGCAAAATTTTACAAATTCAAAGGAATTTCATTACCATCATACATGAGAATCTATCCGTTAAATCTATTGATAATTTCATTAGGTTTTTCATAATTTACAATAAAAATATTTTTAGGTAAATCTAATTCACTTTAAATATATTACATTAATTTCAAATTTACATTTTTTTGCTATAAATTTGTCTCTCCGTCTATGTTTTGGTTTCGACAAAGCAAGCTCCTTTTTCTTCTGAAGTGCAAATTATTATTAAATCAGCTGGGAAAGTTTATTCTTTTTTTATTTTAATTAAATGCCCAGGATATAAATTTTTAGATGGTATTTAATCAAAACAATCTTTTTTATAATCATAAATATCAATCAAAGTATTATTTTCAGTTTTATCAGATTACATTCGTTTATAATCTTCGAAAAAATCTTTAGCTGCACTTATACCTACTATAAATAGTAGAGGAACAAATATTACTGGAAGCCCTTGTGTTATTGATATTTAAGGGATACTTTGCAATATACCAATTACCTTTATTTTATATTTATATATTTTTTAAATAATTAAATTTTAAATTTAAATTTTAAATATTTTAGTTTATTTAATTTAAATTATTTTATATATAAATAATAATATTATTTTTTTGTATTTACTAAAAAGTATAAATTTGCTAATTTTCTAAATTATTAATATAAGTTTTTGGGAAAAAAAGTTAGCCATGTATATTAATTTGTTTATATCATATTATTTGGTAAGTTCATATCTGGTCTACCACAAGTTATTTTTCTATCTTTTAAAATATATTTAGCTTTGTCAGAAGTAAATAAAGATATTTATCTTTTTCGAGTCACATGCTAATACTCATAATCTAAAATAATATTTTTTCGAAAAATAAAATAAAAAATATTGTTATTTACCATAACCAAATTAAGGATTTGTATTAATATTTTATTTGCTGATTTCTTTATTCATTCTTTTTTTTATGATTGTTTATTATTTATTTTATAATTTTTATTTGGGAAAATAAATTATCAATAATATAATATATTGGAAAAAATATAATAATTTATATTATATTATTTAATTATAAATTTTAAAATAAGTTTTTTACATATATATATTTTATATGGGTAAGAGAAAATAAAAAAATTATAAATAGTTATGAAAAATTTTTAAAATTATAAAAAAATAAAAAAAAATTATTTATAAATAAAATATAGATATAATGTTTCTTTATAATTAAATTTGATTTATTTATTTTTATATAATTATTATCTTTATTTATTTCATTTATGCTATAATTATTAATGATTATTTTCTATCAATAAACTATACTCTTTATGTACTTCAAATAATCCTAAAGCAATTTTTTCTATATTGGTTTAAAATTAATTGTTTTTCTCGTCATTTTATTATTCCAATTAGTTAAGTTTTTTATCTATATCTTATAATACTGTATTTTAAATATTTTAATAGATTTACTGCATTTTTTATTTTAAAAAATATTAATAATTTAAATATATATATAAAAATAAATAAAAATTTATTTTAATTTTTTTCTATATCGTATAATTATTAAAAATATTGTCTGAATTATTTATTATATATATATTTGTTAATTATTTATCAAGCAAAGCTTAATAATTTGATTTTATGAATACCAGATTAGTATTCATTATTTTTCATATTCTATATTTTTATATATTAATAATAAATAAAATATATAGAAATTTTATTTTTAAAATAGTTACTAATCACATCAAATTACTTCACTATTTAAAAAATTTTTAATATTATTTTATTAATAAATTCGAGCTCATTTATGATTTTTTTAATAATAAAAAATATTAATTTTTATAAACATTAAATTTCGTTAAAAAAAAAACATAAATAAACAACAATTATAACTAATTTAAAAATAAATATGTAATAATTAAATAAAATATTAGAGAAATAAAAACAATCAAATATTCAGATTGACTTTAAAATAAAAAATCCATTATAATAATAGTACTATTCATAATAATAATAATAAATAAATACATAAGCTTGAATATCTGAAAATTCACCTATAAAAAAACACTATTACACTAATCAATAAAATTTATATAAAACATTGCAATATCAATCAATAACAAGTATAATACCCATTTGTATGTAAACAGAAAGTTCTAAATAATCATTAAACCCTTTATAATAAAAAATAAAGTATTCATCCTAGCCTAATCCTAAAGAAACTAATTAAGAAATAAACGAAAATATAGAATATACATTAAACAAAAATTATTCGAAGCAGATAAAAAATTAAATAATGAATGGACATATAAAGTAATCATTCGATTGCGGTATTAACATTAGTTATATAAATCCAGATACAATAAACAAAAAATGTTCAAGTAATAGTTTATATTTAAATAAATAAAATAATAGGTGTAATAGTTTTTAATTAAATTAAAATAATTATGTGAAAATAAGTTAATAGAAATCTAGTAATTTAAAAAATAATATAATAGAATAAAATTATATAAATATAAATGATTGTTTAAAGCCTTTAAAAGTATCGAAATTATTAAATATAGAAAATTAGTATTAAAAAAGCTTTCTAAAACAGCAAATTTAATAGAAATAAAATTATTAAGAATATGATTTTTATTAAAAAAAGAAACAATTTTAATAATAAATTGAAAAAATTAAAGAAAAATTTCAAGAAAATTAAATTTAAGTTAAAAATAATATCCGTTAAAGGACTTAATCATAAAAGTTTGTAATTAACAATTCTTTAGAAGTTCTTGATTCATATAATAGTGTATTAAAAGATATTATTTCTTATGTATAAAAAACTTTCCAATAAACTTAAGTTTGCCCAAGAATTTAAACTTATATTAATTTCTTCTTATAAAATATAAACTTAATTTAATTAAATGATGAAAATTCCAATGAAATGGAACTAAGCTTAAATGATCTTAATACTATTATTGAAAAAATTGCGGTCTCTACGGATTAAATATCAAGTGACGTACTTAATTATGCACATAAAGCTTATCAAATTGGATTAAAAAAACTTAATATTTTGAAAAATTAGAAAAAAACGAATAATTGATATAAATATAAAATAATTATATGTAAGAAGTAAATTTATTGTTTATTATATAACTTTATAATAATTAAATATTAATTTAAATAAATTATTCTTAATTATTATTATTTTTATATTAAAAATAAATTGATTATTAATTATTTTAATCTAAATTAAAATTATTAAAATTTTTTTATATATAAATAATATTCATTAATTTTATAATAACATTTTTTTTAATACTTTTAATGGGATTTATGTTAAAACAAAAATCTTAAATCTTAAATATATAATTTAAATAAGAATTCATATTAAAATTCAATTATTTACAATATTTAAAGCTTTATTAAATTCAAGTTTTTTATTTAATATATAATTTGTTAAATATTAATTTAAAACTATAATGAATATATATAAACAAAAATAATTGATTTATCTAAGTATTTTATAATTATTTTTTTTTTAAAAAAATATATATCTATATATTATATATAAAAAATAAACAAAAGAAAAAAAATTAAATAAATTATAAAATAAAAATATATAAAAAAATGAATTAATAATAATAGACATACAATAATTTATATGTAATTTTAAACGAAAATTAAACATGTCTTAAATTAACAAACATACTATAGATTTAAGATGATGCTCCTAGTGCTCAAGAAATTTAAAAACATAGTATTTTTTTTTAAAAAAAACAGTTTTATTATTCTTATTGAAATAATAGGATAGTGCGTAAATAATTTAAGATAATTGAAACAATAGTTTAACTTAAAAGATTTTCTTAAAAAATAATAAATAATTTGAAATACATAAAAAATTGTGAATTCATTTTTTTATATAAATATTAAATATATATTTATACACATAGAATATAATATGGAAATAAAATATTTAATAATATGTGTTAAATCTATATATTTTATTATTATTTTAAAGTATTAATTATTATTTACACTGAAAAAAAAAATATTTTTCATTAAAAATGAATACATTTAAATATATCTACAGTTTTTTTTTTTTTCACAGGTAAATAAAAAAAGTCTCTACATATCATTTTTATTTTTATTTTATAAAAATGTTAAAATAAATTAAAACCTAAAACTATAATTTATTTAATATTTTTTTTTATAAGTTTATTTAATAATATCATTTATAATAAAAATTAATTTTTTTAAAGATATTAAATAATAAATCTAAATAATAAATAGAGAGATAATTTTAAATTAAAAAAAAAAAAACATAAATAGTTTATACTAAATATTAAATAAAACTAATTTATATAAATTATTAATAATAAATATAAAATCAATATTATGCATATTTAACTGGTGATTTAGGTAATAACTCTTTAACAAATTCCCTATAAGTAACTTTACTATCTTCATTTTTATCATATCTTTTAACAAGATTATTTAAATCATCCCTAGTAGCAAATATTCCATATTCATTAAGGATTTATTTAAAGTCTTATAAAGTAATAAATCCACTATCCAAACTATCAATAGCTTAGAAAGCATTTTAAATAGAAAAGAAAGGTCTTCTATTCAATTACTATCTAATCAACTCTGCTTCTACTTCCGATTATAAAATTTTATTCATTAATTTCTAGAACAGTCTTCTAGTCTCAACTGAGAAGTTAAAAAGCCCATTTTCAGGATCACAATAAAGAGGTTCCCTTCTTTTAAACAAATAAGCATATTCGGAATTTGCTGGAGTGATTAAATCATTAAAATCACTATATTAAAGCAATCCATCATTATCTTTATCATATCTTTAGAAAAACAAATACAATTCATTTTTTGTAGGGAAAATTCCTATGTCATTCAAAGCAACTTCAAATTCTAATTTAGAAACATATCCATTCCCTTTCTAATCGATAATTCTGAAAGCATCTTCTATTTTGAAGTCACTTCTTAAAGCAATCTAATTTTTTAACTCTTCTACATCCTTGTCAATTAAAACTTGTTGTTTTAAAGCTTTTACTAGTTGCTCTTCTTCATGTTGTTTTAAAGGAGATTATTAGCATTTTAGTTAAGAAGAAAATAAGTGTTATTTGTATTATTTATCAGTGTTGTATTATAAACGTGATTGAACGTTTACCCTTTTTGATTATGAAGAATAACGTAATGGAGATTAGTATCTTTAAGATCTAGAATATTTCATTGAGTTTTTAAGTCTTTCTAAGCTTGCAGATCTTTGTAAATAATTATAGTATTATTAGTCTTTTAGTTCATCTTCAAATTTCTTTTTAGAACTTTTTGATGGTGTATAGAATGTTGAATTTAAATAATTTTATTCTTTTTATTTAGATTAGTATATATATTAAATAATTATATTATATTTTAAATTTTACTTTAGTTAGAATAGTTACTATAGGATTTATTTATGCTTTATTAGGGAATGTATTCTTTTACTTTATATGAAGGGAAATCATTCAATGTAATAATTTCAGCAAATTAACTGTAAGTAATATTACTTTTTGATCCTATTTTTCTAAATAAAGCAACTAATTAATCTTCATTCAACGTCATATTACACTAAATCATGAATTCGTCAATACTTTGGATATCAATATAGCCTAAACGTTTTTTGTCAATACAATTAAAGCATTCTAACTTGTTAAAATCAAATAAATCTTGTAATGATTATTTCAATCCATCTGTTTTTCTAATATTTTTTATTTCTTATTCTAATACACGAGCCAATGCCCATTCAGCTTCATAACTTTTAATAAAATAATATATATATATATTATAGTTTTTTTTTATTTTTACGGTAATGGTTCTCCATCTTATAAATAATAACTTTCTCTAAAATTAGCTAACTATTTTAATCTTCTATCTTCATGAGGTAGTATTGCTTCAGCGAAACTAATTTTTTTTATGTTATTTTTTATATATTATTTTTTATACTTAGAGTAAGACAATCTTCGATCTAAACTTGTTGTAAGTTCGTTAATTAGTTTTATGGCTTCTTTATGACTTACGTATAAGTTATTATCTTAAAAGAATTCTTAAATATCTGAAGCTAAAATAAAACCTTTTTTTCCTAAGTCAAGACGGCAGAAAGCTGCATAAGGCTCAAAAGAACTCTATTCGGCTAATACTTAACGAATTACTTCAGTTTTTTATTCTCCTTCAGCTAAAGATTATAGAACACTTGCTAATCTTAATTAAATTCTTAAAGACATTTTATTTTTTTTAATTTTATTTATTTAGTTTTATTTTTTGTATTTTTTTTGTATTTATTTTTATTTTATTTAATAATTATTTATATTTTATGATTTTTTTTTTAGGGTTGTTGTTTATTTCTTTTAATATATGATTTTTATAAATCACACATTTAATAAAAAGTTTTGATTAAAAAATTATTGGAAAATATTGAAAAATTTATCAATTTTTAAAAATAAAATTAAATTGAATAGATAGATAATATATATATATATATATATATATATATATATATATATATATATATATATATTGTATATATATATATATTATTTTATTAAAATTTTAATTACCATTAGAAAAAAAGTATTTTAAATTTTATGGTATAATTTTATTAAATAATTTATTAAATTAAAAATTAATAAATTTTTATCAAATTAAATCAATAAATTTTTTTTATTTAATAAATAATTAATTAAAATTAATTTTATAAATATTTTTTTTTATATATTTTTTGTAAATATTTTTATGGAATTTGTTAAATTTTATTAATCTCAACATTTAATAAAAAATAATTTATTTTAATAATATTTTTTTTTTTTTATTATTAATATGTAAAATATTTAAAATTGAATTTATCTTTTTATACAATATAAATTTCATTAGTTGTTATTATAATATTAATTTTAATACTTTTTATTTTAATAATTTTATATATTGTTTTTATATATAAAATAAGCATTTTTTTTTATTTGCTTATAATCTATTAGGTTATAATAACTTTTTGTAATTGAAATAGAAACATTTTTAATTTATCTTAATAAAAACAAAAAATTATTGATTTATATTATTTTTTAACGTAATATACTTCATCAAAATTATATTTAGTTTTATAAATTATATAATAATTTAAAAATATAAATTTAATATAAAAAAAAAAAAATATTCTTTTGTTATAATATATATATAATTAAAAATTTATAAAACATATTTAATATAATAATATAATTAATAATATATAGAAAATATTAAAATTTAAATAATAAAAAAAACTTTTTAATCTTAATTAAATTTATTAAGTATAATATAAAAATAAAGAAAAAATATAAAAATAATAAAAATTGCGAAAATTATAATTTATATTTTGTATGTAAATATATATATATATATTTCTTTTATTATAATAATATGTAAATATATTATTTTTTTCATGTCTCCTAAAAGACTTCAAATGCTTCAGGAATTTGTAAGTTTTTACAGAATTCAATATTCATTAAAATTTCTTTTTAAAATTATTAAATATCATTTTTTCTTTCTTTTAATTATGTTTATAATTTAACACATTATTAATAAATTTAAGGAAACAATTACCTTGCTTGTTAAATCTATTAAAAATATTACTCAAAAGCCTAAACAAGAACTTTATTTGATTAATTGGATTAATAAACTTTATTATATTCGCTATATTATATTTTGTTATGAAATTTTTAATTAATAAACTATTAGCTTTACATTATTTATTGTGCTAAATTATAATAAAAATCAAAACAATTACTTAATTCATATTCTAATTAAGCTTTAGATTTAATATTATATCCTAATTTGGAATTGTCATTATTATTTTCTTTTTATTTTTGTTCTTTAATAATTACACAACCCATTTTTATAATTATAAAAAATAAATTTTATTAAATTGTATAAAAAAAAATGTATATTTAAGTTTTATGTTTAAATAAATAAAAATATATAAATTTAAATTTGTAGATTTTATATATATATATATATATATAATAATAATTTTATATTAATATATACATATATATATATATATATATATTTATATTTTTATACTCTATTCTTTTATATAGACTAATTTATTAATTTATTAAATATAGTTTTCAATTAAAAATATAAAAAAATCATATAATATTTATTCATTTTTTCCTTTTTTACCTGCTTTTTTTAATTCAGCTTATTTTTCTATCTAAAAATTAGGATTATTTTCTGCTTCTTCTAAAATTTTATCCATTTTATCAATAATTTCCTATTCAATTCCTTAAACTGAGTATTTTTTGAAATTTTCAAAACAATCTTTAAGCAAATCAATATTAAAATTTGCTAAACAGTCTTATATTTTTTCCTATAGTTATTAAATTTTTAAATTATTTAATCGCATTTTTGCAGTTTATATGATATTCTAATTAGAATCTTTGATATCTTAATAAATTAAAATCTTTTTTTCAAAATCTTAAATACTTAAAGTAGTTTATTAACTTTTTAAAAAATCAATTAACTCCCTTTCTATATTATTTTAAATTTCTAATTTAAGCCTAAAATCTTCTCTTTCATTCAAAAACTTATTCCAATTTTATTTAAAAAATAGTCGTTCTTAAATTTATTTATCTAAAATAATATTAATTTATTATTATTAATATTCTTTTAATTCATCCCTTTAAATTTAATTTCTTATTAATATTCCTGATATTTCTTCTTAACTTAATTATAAATTTTCTCTTATTTAATTTTATTATATAATTAATATATATAATATATATATATATATATTTTTCAAAATATATATTAAATATAAATTATTTTATATTTATATCTTTAATTATATATATTATATAAAAATACTTTATTTCTTATATATTTTTTTATGTTCGTATTTTTATTTCTCCTGCATGTATTGCATATTAATCCTATACTCTAGGTTATTCCATATGCTTTATTTTTAAAAAATTATATATTTTTTATTGATTCGTAAATTATACATTTAAAAAAGAATTAATTTCTATCGTTTAATGTTAAAAACTTTAAGGAAAAACTAAATTTTACTCATTATTTCTACCTTAATTTAAATTTTCATCCTTTCCTCCTTTTTTATTGTTTACTTTTTTATCATCTTTTTTTTGAGATACTGGTACTCCTCCTTTTTTATCTTAATTTTTTATATATATAAATAATTAATAAATATTTAAATATAATATACTTTCTTCTCTTTGTAATTTATTTAATCTAGGTTCGTTTATTATGAGCAGTTCTTCATCAGATAGTTCAATTCCTTTTTTTTTTTTAATAGAATTTGATATTTTTTTCTAGATTTTTTAGCTTTTTCAGCTCTTCCTTATTCTTTGTCTTCCCAGCTTTTTATAACTTCTTTTTATTTTTCTTCTTTATCGGTGTCCTTAGCAAAAACTAAAGTTTCTGAACTAAAAACTTTCAAAAACCAATAAATATTTTCTGTTTTTTCATTCAAACTCTATTTTTTGTATAAAAAAAAATATATAAAAAAAATTAAACTTTTGCATAAGGCCATTCATTTAAATCAAAAGTAGCTTATAAAATATAAGATTTATTTTAATTTTTATTAGGTTTTAAAATAATATTAGAAATTAAAGCTTAATTGAGTCCATAACTATAAATTACAGTAATTCCATCTTCTAAAAGTTCTAATTTTATATTAATTTTTTCGATTATAATTTTTTCTTAAAAATCTAAAAATTATTATTAATCTTTCCCTTTTTTTTTATTATCTATATTATTTCCTCCTCCTTATTAATTATTTATTAATTCTGCAATTCTCAAATTTAAAGTTACAATTGTTAATTCTGAAACAAATATTTTTTCCCTAAAAATAATTCCGTATTTTGAAGGAACGTACTTATCTACGTACTTTATAGGTTCTAAATGTTCTATATTTATGAACTCTAGTTACTAATTTTTAATTTAATGTAAAATAAATTATATAAAAATTACATCTTTTGTGTAAAAGTCTGTTTATAGAATACCTTCAGGCGCATTATAGGGAACTAATCCTTCTAAAATAATATAATAAGTAGTGTTTTATTTTAATTAGATTCTTAAATAAGACGATATCATATACGAATTTTCATATAAGTTTTTATGTACTCCTTCTATTGTAGTTAACATTTCGTTGTCTTCTTAATCATTCTATTCTTTAACTTTCAGTGTCATATATTTCAAAAGTTGTTTATCATTTTTGCATTTTAATTTTAATACAAAAGAGCTTTCATTGGCTTATTTTTATATTCTAAATCTAAAAAGCATATTATACTTTATTTAATTTTTTATAAATAAAATATAATAAAAAAAACTTTATTTTATTCAAAAGCATTATAATCTATATTAAAAGATTTTAATTAATAACCTTCATATTCAGTAAGATAATTAGCAATAGAACAAGTTCTTTTATTATTATTATTTATTTTTAACAAAAAAAACATAAATATTTATAATTTAAATACCTAAAATTATTATTAGAAGAAATACTTAAAGAATAAGCAACGGGAGTATAGGCTTAAATTTTAAAAACATGATTTTTATTTTCCAATTTTAATAATTAGCAACTTTAATTTTCTTTAAATAGAGGGTATTCATAATAACTACAAAATTATTAAAAGTTAAACTTTTACAATATACAATAAGGATCAGGGACTATTTTTGCAGTTTTTGATTCTTTAAAAATAAAACTAAATAATAAAGATATCGTATTATTGTTTTCTTCATCGTTTGTATTTCTTTCTATTATAAGTACTTCGCTTTCTTCTCCTATTGTAAATTCGAATTCTTCAGATTATGAAACATTAACTATTTTATTATAATAGAATTTATTTGGATTATAATATATTTGGAAATGTTAAAATATGTTTTAAATATCAATATCCTAAACCCATAATCCTCCTAAACCTCTATTTACGGGTTATAATAAATTTTATACTGAAGAAAAGTCATTTAATGTTTTCGTTTATAAAAAGTTTTCTGAATTAGCATTTTTTTATATTTAAGACATAATTTATTTTGAGTCATCTTTTATTTCTGAATTTTCTTAATAATTAGGAGGTTTTGTTAACTTTTTTTTTAAAGCAAAAAATAAAATAAAAATAATGATTTTAAATTAAAAAATTACATTATTTAAAATACATGTTTTAGCTATATTCAACTCATCATGTGTAAAACAAGAAAAAATATTTAAAAGAGGAACTTTAGAAACTCCAGTTTTAATTTTAAAGAATAAATATTAAATTGGTGGTTTATTAATAAGTTCTAATCTTTTTTTTTCTTCTTCAAAAATCTATAGTTTTTTTTTTTTTTAAAAAAAAATATTTTTTTAATAAAAAAAAATACTTTATCTTTTAATTCTTTTTTTCGTTTTCTAGTTTCGATTTTTTATTCTTTACTCATTTTATTTATATTTTTACTAAGAATATCATTATATTCCTTTCTATATTTAATCTCATTATCAGATTTCTTCTATGCGAAAACCATATTAAATTAATCATTATAAAAGCATTCGACAACCGGATATGCGAAACCAGGAATAACATAATTAGGTTTATTATCTTAATTATACTTATTAATACTTAATAATTAACTAACTTATTATGATAAAGAATTTGCCTTTGATTTTTTCTTTACAGGGCTTTAATAATTATCTGATTATGTTTCTTCATTTGTGTCATTATTTTCGTGTCCTTCATATTCATTTTCATGTAATAATGGAACATTTTCTAATTTTAAATTTTCAAGCATTTACATTTAGACTTAATTTAATCCTCCGACAGTTAAATTTCTTTATTTTCTTCTATTAGTCGCACTATCATTATTATAATTTTCATTTTCCAGAATATCTTAATTAATTTGAAATTTTTTATCACTACTATACTGAAAAGAAGATTATCGTATTTCTACCATTTAAACACCAGCATAGCAACTAACGTAAATATCCCTATTGGAAAAATGTTTATCGGACAATAAATCTTTAATAAACTAAACTTATTCACTATCTTGAATATGAATAGGAACACATTAAGACTATAAACCAGTTAAAGAATACATTATAAATCCAGATCCAACCAAAGATCGAATATTTAACACATTAGAACTCATTTCAATCACTTTTAGTATTGCTTTTGAAAATATAAAGGTCCATATTTCTTCCTTTTTTACAGATCGAGGAAATATGCATTACCCGTTAAAATTTACAGGCATTTTATCATCTATTTCTATCTTTCTCTCTTTTCCCATATAATAGAGTTTTACCCAATATTTTCCACTTTAATTAAATGCAGGTATATTGTCTTATTAAGGAAATATTTTTGTCCATATAGGCTTTTATTTTTAATATAATATAATATATAATATAATATAATATAATATAATATAATATAATATAATATAATATGATTCATTTCATTTTTACTTTATTAGTATAACAATCACATATATTTCTATCTTTAATCATTTATAGTTAAGAAGCAATCCATTTAGAATCATCTGGGACATTAAAAGACATATCTATATTTGAAAGTCGAATTTCTTTTATTAATTAAGGCTAAGTATCATTATTTTCATCTTTTTTAGCACCTTTTTTACCAATACCAGTGTTTTTTTTTTCATTTTCGGTTTTCATATTCTATTAATATTATTTTTTATTTCTTTTTGTTTTAAATAAAAAAATGAAAATACTTTAATTCTATATTCAACTTCTTATTGCGTTTCTAATCTTTATTAATAGTCAAAAACTTTAAGTTCTAGTTTTTCTTCTTAAAAATTCTATTTATTATTATTATGTTTTTGAGAACCTACTATTTCAGACTACTTTTTAAATATTTCAGAATCTTTAACATTATTTAAAAAACTAAATCTTTTCTTGTAATATAATTTAGCCTATAGTTAGTTTACTTCTTATATTTCAGTCTTAATAAATTCATTTGGACGCCTCCAAAATACCAAGCTTTAGTATAATTAGGTTTAGAAACTTGGAGTAAGCCTTAATTATGAATAATTTTGGTCTGTGAATATTTAATTTTAAGCATTTTAGATATTAAAATCAAAATTTTGAGCAACTTCATCACTTGGCCATTCATTTATTTTATCATATTCTTGAAAAAATTATTACGTGGAAACTATTTGGCATTGATCGGGAATTTTAAATTGTATACCTTCTCTTATTTGTCCTTTAAATGTTGAAGGAATTACATCCTTTTAAGCTATTCCTTATTTATAAACTTTTCCTTTTTTATTAACTGCAGGAGGCATTATTATTATAGTTATTAATATTATTATTATTATTATTATTATTATTATTATTATTATTATTATTATTATTTTTATTATTATTATTCTTATTATTCTTATTTTTTTTATTTTTTTATTAGTATTTATATTTTTATTTTTAGAAATGATTTTTTTATTTAATTAACTGAAATATATATTTATATATTGATTTATATTTAGATAAAAATATATATAAATTTATTTTAAATATTTTTATTTATCATATTTTTATTTTTATTTAATCTTAGTTTATATTTAAAAAATTATTTAATAACTATTTCTTATTAGAATAATTTTTTTATGCAAAAAAAAAAATTATAAAAGTTAAAGATATTCCAACTATAAATTAAACAACAACATCTATTGGAATATCATTTAAAAATATTTCCTCAATAACTTTTTTTATTTTATATAAAAAAAAAATTAAATATTTATACAAAAATAATAAAATATTTAATGTGTAAATAATGTTACCTATAAAATATTCAAATTATCTTTGTTTTGCATCTAAAGTCGATGATCTTGTTGACCTATATCCATAAACTTAAAAATAATATATATCCTATTATTCTAAATTCTTAAAATAATTATTTTTTTGAAATATAATATTACCATATAATATATATATATAAATATATATATATTATATATATTTATATTTATTTATATATATTTTTAAATTTATTTCTATACATTTATAAATCCTTATATATCTGTTTCAAATTATTATCTTTGTGTATCTAAAGGTTTAAATTCTCCATTAATTTATTTTTATGTTAGTTCATCATTCCATTCTATTATAAAATCTAAACCAATCTATATCAACAATTATTATTTTATTATTTTTTATTTTTTATTTTCAATTTACTGAGCCTAAAAAGGAAATCTTTATATTATATTTTGTATTTGATTTTAATAATTTTCTATTTAATTTAAATTTCAACGGTTCATTTGGATATGAATTAAATTTTAATTAGTTGTTTATTTAAATATCAGTCATTTTTTACGAACATATATTAATAACAATCAATTAGAATATAATAAAATAAAAAGTATATATCATTTATATTATTAATTTTTATATAAAATATTATTTATAATAAAATAAGTAAAATTAAAATAATAATCCTAAATTTATATATTTATTTATTAAATATTTTATTTTTAAAGACACAATTCACTTAAATAATATTTTTAAATTATTTATTTTATTTAAATTATTAAAACTATTTTTTATAAAAATAATAATAATATAAATAATTAAATAATAATAATAATATATATATAAATAAATAAATATTTAAAATGTCATCATTTAAAGTAATATATTATATTATTTTTAAAAATTAAGATATGCATAATTTTTGAAAAAAAATATAGTTAAATTAAGATATTTTGCATAAACAAAAGATTGAAAATTATGAAAAAGATGTTTTAATTTCTTAATTAAAAGCTGAAATTTACGAATTAAAAAGTTTTAAAATTAATGCTCAGATGATGCTTTAAATATAAAAAGTATAGAATAATAGTATTATTTGATAAAAGAAGAAAATGTAAAGTAAAAGCTAATTATTTTTTTAAAAAAATAATATAAAGTTTAGAATTTAAAATGAATCTAAAATGAAAATATAAGATTAATAAAAATAAATATAAAATCTTCGTAATAAAATAGATTTATTAGAATCTTAAATATCAGAGAAAAAATTAGAAAACTAAGAATTAAAATCCGAATTACTTTCTTACAGATAATCAAACGACCACTAATAATTAGATGCTTAGCGTTTTAAATAAGAAAATATTCATTTATAGGAATTATTATAGAGAATTTAATTAGAATAAGCATAATAAAAATAAGAATTTATTTCTTTAAGAGAAAATAAAAGATAAATGTTAAAAGATATTGAATTAGTAACAAATAGTAATGATAATTTAATATCATAAAATTAAGAATAAGATAAAATTATTAGAACTTTAGAATACGAAAAATAATAATAAATAAAGTAAATAACAATACTAAAATAATAAAATGAATAGGTTAATTTTTTTATTTATTTTTTGTTTAATTTATTAATTAATTTTAATAGATGTAAAAAGAATTAAATAATTAAACTGATATACTAAAAGAATTTGAGAATTAAAAATTATAAAAAAAATAATTAGGAATTTAAAATCTTTGTGATATTGATGATTTATAAAGATAAAGAGATAAATTAAAAAATGAAAATAATCATCTTTAAATGTGCTGGAAAGAAGAATCTAATAAAAATATATCTCTTGCCAGTTAAAATGCAAATATTGAAGCTTAATTAAGGTTTTTTGAAAAAAATATATTTAAATATTTTCATTTTTTTTTTTATTAGAACTAAAAATAATCTTATAGATGAATTGAAATAAAAAATGGATGTCTTGAAAAAAGAAATATAGGAAATTGTAAAATAAAATGATTATTTATAAAATTAATTAGACTCTTCTAAAAAAAATTATGATTAATATATTTAATAGAATGTTGAAGTATATAAAATTATTATTATTTTAAAATATATATCTTTTATCAAATAAAGCTTTTAAATTAATTGGAATAATTTAATAATTAAGATGAAGATATTAGGACGATTTTAGATAGAAAAGCTCAGATTAGAGCAATAAAATAAAAAATAGAATCCTATAATAGATAATAATAAAATGAATTAAGAATATTAAGAACTAATTAATCAAAAAGTAGCTTTTAATAAAATGGGAAAAAAGAAAGTTTCTATAAAACATCACAAATATGAATAACTTTATGAAATAATAAAAGTTTTAAATAATTATTTTATTAAAAAAATAATTATTTATATATATCTAATATATATATATTTACAATAAATATTTTGTATTTTTTAAACCAAAATAAATAAAAAAAAAATTTAAAATAAAATTTAAAAAATTTTATAAAAATGAAAAAAAAATTAATAAATATAAATATATAAATAATTTTATTTATTATCAAATTTTATTTAATGTATTATATTTATATATATATATTTATTTATTTAAATTTTCTATTATCAATATGTGTAAGTTCTTTTTTCTGCTTTTTTAGGAGTATCATAAAATGTTGGTAATAAAGAAAGTTCATAATTAGCATGATCTTCTTCTAATACATCATTAGCTCTTCTGTGGTAAGCCAGTTCCATTAAGAAATCAAACATATCATCTTAACATGAATATACAGTCTCATAATACATTCTATAGCATGGATATGCTTTATATTATTTAGGATCAGCTTTTTAATCAAAATCTTTGCTACGTAAATCCCAGAAAACTTAATCACATCTAAAAAATCTTTCAAATCTCAAAGCACATAACATGTAATGATCCTTTATTTAATTAAAATTTAATAAATATAAATATGTTCTAATTCTATAATAATATTTGAATAAAAATACTTAATAACTGAAATAAGAGTTAAATGGAACTACAACTCTTTGTCTTGGTGAAAGTCCAATTTAGTACGAGTTAGTACGTCCGGTTGGAGTAAATCCAGGAAATACAATTAAATCATCCAAAGCCTCTTTTAAATTAGTTTTTTTAAAAATATATGAAATAATTATATATAAAAATATATGAAATAATTATATATATATAAAAAAATATAGATATATATATTTATAAATTAATATATATATGTATAATTATTTATATATATATATATATATGATTTTTTTATACAAGCTTCGAATATCATTGTGTATAAATCTTCAGGTTCAATCATTTAATATTTTTTCATTCCGTGATCAAAGTAGAATGGTCTTTTTTTTTTAATTTTTTTTTATTTTATATATTGTAATTTACTTTTTTTTACCTTCATGTAAATTTCTGAAATAATCATATAATTATTATTTTTCCAAACTGCATCAGTTCTTAATATAAAATC